TTTAGGCCTGTCCTGAGCGCAAGTTTGCCTCGGTGACAATCCCACAATAAATATGCTATAAGGCCTGGTTTTCTTCTAACTTCACGTATGTCCTGTGACTTAGGGGCATTTGCGGTTTTGTGACATAGTGGTGACATGCCGAGAATATGAGCTGCATTAGTCGGGTTCGGTTCCCGCTATGAATGCCGATAAGACCTAGGAGAGGTCAAAACTTCAGTCCACCCTGGTTTAGAATACCTCGTGTGAAGTAAGACTATTAAAAGTTCAATTTGAACGTGATATTGTGATAGCATCTGACTGTCAGTCCATCATTACCTTATCCAACTTAGGGTTACTAGAACCCGTATTCAAAGGTTGCGGGAAATCTAGTGTGGCCTCATCACATCTTCTATTTACCCCGAACCGCTTTCGAAAACCTTTCATGACCAAGAAGTTTGAAAAGTGAAAAATAAGTAATATTTCCAAGAAAGCGCCAAGGCACCTGTTAACTACGGAGTATCAAAAGCACTTTAATGAATCTGACTACATGGCCAATGACCCCATAATATGCCTCTATGCTTCTTCTGTAAGTAACTATCATTTCTTACCAAACAAGGGAAAATTTCAGACAAATATCACTATTTATTCACAAAATGGATTGATGAGGAGAAACTAATACCATAAAATGTTCTATTTAGATGCAACACCGATGCATATTTCCATTGCATCACATGAGGCTAATCAATCAGCCATTGCTGTTCCTAATAATAACTCTGAGATAAAAATGGCTAGAAATAAATTAGTTAATCATATGAGTCTAAATGATGCGTCAAGATTAGGATAATACAATTTAATTTGTACATGGATATATTAGCAAAAGTTTCCAAACCATGTTTCTCATAAAATATATGAAAACCAAGATGTTGTGGCCTCTGTTATGGTCGCAGTCTCCTTTCGATGTATAGAAGTGGGCTGACCTCGTTGTCGCAACTTGGTCTTGTTGTCAGGGCGACTATGTAGAACGCACCTAGTCCGAAGTCGTATGCCAGAGTTGTTGTCATGATTCCCAGCATCTGACAGTGGACTTGATACATTCTCCGAAAACTTTGCCTACTGCCTTAGCAAACTCGGGGAAAACAATAGAGCAAGACCAGCAAAAAGAAGACGCCTGGATCAAGAATCTGCCGCTAAGCAAAGGGAAGGGCATGGCGATGAGGAAATTGGGGGTTGGGAGTTTCGACAGTAAAGCGAAGACGTTGTAAGTGGATGATATTTATTTCGAATAAACCAATACAATTTTGGGAGCCTTGCAGTCAGGGAGCGGGAAAGACTGATAAGCAAACCGTCACGGGAAATAGGGCCTGGAGTAAAATGCACACAGGGACTGGAACCGAATGAAATCGGTCATCTAGATAGGTAAGGAACGGATCTACGAGACAATGAGGGGATCCAGAGTGGAGGCCTGAGCCGGATAAGCCGATCCACAGAGAGGGTTCGGGGTAAATAGCAGGTGTGATGAGGCCACACTATATGTTCCACAAAAGGGCACACATTTTGAGGAGTGTAATGTAAACAAGTGGTAAGTTGTGATAGGGCGGTAGTGGGAGAAGAGGGTAAAGAGTAGATAGATAGGCCAGGACAGAAAGAGGAGTGATAGTGCAACCGTTTTCGGCAGAACGTTTATCGAGGGATTGGTTTCACTTGCTCTTTGACGGGTTCGTAGCTTGGTTCGGAGAATGGCAAAACTCACTGATGATGCCGACTATGATGCCAGCGAAACGTTTGGGAATGTACCAAGTCAACTGTCAGATGCTGGGAATCATGACAATTACTATGACAGACGACTTCGGACTAGGTGCATTCTACATAGTCGCCCTGACAACAAGACCAAGTTGAGACAATGAGATCAATCCACTTTTTTCTTTCTCATCTTTTATCTTACAAATCTTATAAAGCAGAAGCTATAAAAAGAATATGAGGTATTAAAAAATGCAAGTATGACGAATACTAATTTTCTCAGTAAAGAATCTTAGAAATTAAAAATGATAATATGTTTTGGCCAAATATAAACACAAATAGTTTAATCGAAGGTATGAAGGCCAAGATGGTGTGGTCTTTTGTGTGGGAATGTTCCACGTCCGCGGTCCTACTTTGGAAATGATCATGCAGACAATGGACCCCGGACTAGGTGCGTTCCAATAAGTCTTCCTACCAATGTGACCATTCAGGACAAGGTGCGTTTCTATAAGTCTTCCTACCAAAATGACCAAGGAAATGATCATGCAGACAATGGACCCCGGACTAGGTGCGTTCCAATAAGTCTTCCTACCAATATGACCGAGTTGCGAAAAGACGATGATGCATACAATGGACTCCGGACTAGGTGCGTTTCTTTAAGTCTTCCTACCAATATGACCGAGTTTCTAATTATGCAGACAATGGACTCAGGACAAGGTGCGTTTCTATCAGTCTTCCTACCAATATGACTGAGTTGCGAAAACAAGGTCAAACAACTTCTTGATGCATACAATGGACTCCGGACTAGGTGCGTTCCTCTAAGTCTTCCTACCAATATGACCAAGTTGCGACGTGGCGATACTGGCGATGCCGGCGAAACGTCTGGGAATGTACCACGTCCACGGTCCTACTCTGGAAACGATGCTGCAGACAATGGACCCCGGACTAGGTGCGTTCCAATAAGTCTTTCTACCAATATGACCAGTTTCGAAAACAGCATACAATGGACTCCGGACTAGGTGCGTTCCTCTAAGTCTTCCTACCAATATGACCAAGTTGCGAAAACTTATATAAACACAAATAGCTTATAGAAGTTGCTTGAACTTAGTCCTAGTCCGGAGTCCATTGTATCAACGGCAACTTACAAAGTCGGACCCTGGATGTGGTACATTTCCAGAAGTTTCGCCGCCATCGTAGGTGAGTCTTGCTATTCTAAGCACCATATGACAAGTGAATCCGAGACTTTGACCAAATGTGTGCTAAACAGTTGTGGTATCTCTCCTTCTGTCCTGGATTATTCACCTCTCCTATATCCTCGTATCACGCCTTTCCTATCAAAAATTTTCCTTGCTTATTTAAA